AAAAAAAAACTAATTTTGGGCTTGATGATCTGTTCATTCACAAAATAATTAGTATGGGAAGGGATTGCACACGTTTTTTGCGTAATTATATGTTATTTTAATTCCCTATTCGTACCCTATACAAATCTACCAATGACCCATAATAGAATTTTATTATGTAGAATGGATGATGCTATAGTGCCCGTTACATATTGTAGGATCAGATCTGTAAATCACTGGCGTAATTTCCATTCTGTCCTATTCTAATATCAGAGTCATCGGATTGACTTGCATAATACTAATTTAAAGATTCGTAATATGCATACTATGCCAGAACATTCCAGAAATTAGTTAGCAGATTAATTATTCATTGATCTATTCCCTATAGATTTGCAAAAATACTTGCTACATAACACAGGATGCAGTTAAATTACATGATCTCATCTGCAGAACAAGAGAAGCTAAATATCTACCTTTTTTTGAGCTTGCGAGAAAAAAGATCTGGGTTACCGATATATCCAGACTACTGATATATCTGGCTTTGAGTGATTTAATCATGAGAAAGCAGAATTTTATTTCACTTCGATACCGCTAATTTATAAGAAAAAAAATATTAATATAAAAATATATCTCTCAATTGTGATCTTAGAATAGAATTAAGAAAACGGTAAACAATTTAAGTCTCATGTTCATGAGAGCCCAGCGAAAATTCTCTAAACAAGTACTCACTACCTGACCCTTCTTCTGGTATTTATTTCTGAATTTCAGCTAACATTGCATCAATTTCAGCTAATATTGAATCTATTTCTATTGTTTGAGATGGCGAAGAAGCCTGTATTTGAGGTTTTGAACTATCGCTTATCTCTGGTTCAGAGTCAGACTCTTCTGATTCTGTATCGCCTATAGCATAATTATCATCTGCATCAAGGTGGTCTGATTCTTACCTCATTGCGATTCTCGAAAGCAGTTTAAGATATTGGGGTGTTGGTTTTTTACCACATGGATTCTGGAAGCATGTTTACTTCCATAATCTCTTAATTTTTTAGGTATGGTTCTATAAGGTTCTTGTTTTAAGAACTCGTTAAATGGCCAAGCATTA